ATAAAAGCAGAGAAAAAGCAACAACTCCATCGACATTCATAAATGATAGTGTTGTAATTTTACTGTCGTTCAGTAAAATAAAATAAAGTAAGACAAAAATAATCATTACCCTACAACAGCTCTATTAATACATTTATTAGGCCTATAACATTCACACATAGTGTTCAAATTGGCATCTGTAATATATTCTAATGTTTTAAAAAGTATTTTCTGCTCAGCAACTTATTCATTTGAAGTTAAATTGTGCTTGGTTGGTATAATGTATGCTAGAATGAAAAAAAAAAGTTCAGTGTTAAGTAAATATTTTTAAATTGTTGTTTTGTAATTGATTTTTTATTTGATAAGCAGGACAAAACAGTAAAAAGCACATTTTGGCAATTTACTTAATGCAATGGTGAAAAAAAACAATGGCGAAATAGGCCTGCATGGGGGAAAAATGTGAAAAACCATATTCGGCCTTCGGCCCAGTGTTTCATTTTGTTCGGCTTCGGCCAAGAATTTTCATTTTGGTGCATCCCTAATGTATAGCCTATGTTCTAAACTAAAGAAACTGTAAGGAGGTGTTTGCTCAGTTATGGGGAATATATGTTGCTGTCAAGGTTTTTTTTGGCCCAATCACTGTATTCTCCTGAATAATTGTAACTTTTAAAAATGAAATGCTTTGGCAAATGCTTGTAATATAAATCCTTCAGTGTCCTTCCGACCATAAGTCATTTGTATCTTCTTGTCTTTTAGGAGACAAGAGGCACAGACGAAGCCACAGCAGAAGCAAAGAGGTAACTAATTTTAGTCCATTGATGTCATGTAGACCAAAATTAAACTGGTCACATCATCAGTAGTTTTACAGCTGGCATTTCTAGTTTTAGTCCAGGGTAAGTATGCAGCTTAGACAGAAGGAATGAAATGCCAGACTGAGAAGAAAAGCACTGAGATGTAATCACAAGTGCATGTAATCTTAAATTGTATTAATATGGATTACAGATGGAGAGAAATGTCTGTTTGGGAGCTTTTTTAACGTCCTGTATTTTAGATCATATGATAACATTTCTATAATAAATTATACTCAGCGTGCTAATACACGAAGAGACACTCTGAACAGAAGACGCTGCTGACAGATAGCAAAATTATATGCCTACTACCTGGACAGGTAACTATCAGTCATTTAAACTTATTTGCCTATTAAACGATATCTTTTTGTCTCACAACCCCAGTTACTGCCTTTTTTGTAAACACCAACAGAATTGCAATTAAAAAAAATGAGTGGCCATTCTCAATGTGAATGCATGCAGATTTGCACAGTATTGAAATACTTTTTAAAACAGTTAAGTTGCACGCACTGAGATTATTTTTCATATATATTTGTTTGGTCATAATTGGATTGAAGGTCTTAAGGGCATTTTACGCTGTACACAGTGACCGTGAGTTTTCAGTTGGTTTTTTTTGTGGGAGAGCAGGACAGGTGATAGAATGGGCTCATTCACATGAATCATGCCACTTTGTTGTGTACGACCGCATTTTATTCATATTATATTATTTATTTATTTTATAACCTATTCCACCCTACAAAGCCTAAACACAGTGGTGTATTTTATTGATTGTGAAAGCTGCATAAACTTTAAAACACAACTCTAAAGCCTATTTTCTCATGGTTGGTGGTGTTGCTGTATTTTGCCTTTGTATAGCAGCATTACTTTTGCATTTCTCAAAAGAAAATCCACACACTTTATGAAGAAATAAATATTGTATTACCTAAACTTAAAAAATAAATGTAGTTTAGCTCTTTCTTGCGTGCCTCACGGAATGCAATATTTAAACAGTAATCACCTCAGACATGTTTTCACTCAATAGCACAAGCGAGCATCATTGTTTGTTACCACTGAAACTTGTGATTATGTGGTTTAAATAGCTTATTGTATGTATAGAAATGTGCCTGTACACATAGGAGGTGGCAAGATGACAAGAAATGCTTTCTTGTATCATGTAAAATGCCCTTTAAAGTCAACATGAAACCAAACCCAGTTTACTTTCGTAATGTGAATTTTCTGAGTTAAAATAATAATAATAAATATAGCTGCAAAGCTATATCTCCTAGCCCTAGATGTATGGTAATTTAGAATATTTTATATTTTGAGCCTCTACCTACTGGAAACCAAGATGACGGCTAGGTCAAATTCACTCGAGCATCTTTACAAATCCATCATGACAAAGCAAAAACTAGATTTGTCAGTTAATTACATTTTGAAGAAAGATTGACAAGATAAACATTTGAACCAAGAAGTCAAGTAGAGCTAGACCAGGAATGTGTAAGTAAATAGGGTTCATTTTGATTTCATGTTGACTTTTATGTTTATGTAGGAGAAAAACCGTGTATATGAGAAAAGAAAATTCCAGTGTGAAATCTGTGTACATTTCTCGCTATAAAGATCACCCATGCTTTTTTTGGTACTGAACTGGGTGTAAATGTGCTGGTTAAGTGCACTCATTTGTGTTAAATGTAATTGTATATTGGCCACTCCTTCATCGAATCCGCTGACCTCGCCGTTCTCAAGCCCACCGCATCTGCTTACTCTAGCCCTCCAGCCGTTCTTCACTCTAGCCCCGCTGTGTGTTTCGTTGTGAAAGCGAAACTACTTTGTTTGGGCTTCCAAAAGAGGACACAACTAGAAATCAGTGGTTAAGTTGTATTTACAACACTGTTCCAAGTTCAACCCAAATATTCAGATGTGTGCAGTGCATTTTATGGAGGACTGTTTCCTGATCCTGGAAGAGTAGACTACAATGCCGACTGTTCTGACTCACAGAGTGTAAGTACGTTTTATTTTAAAGGATTTGCCACTGATGATTCAAATGCGAGTTTTGAGCAGTGTAGAGTAGCGCTTGTTGTTTGTCATTTCTCCGATCACAAATGCAGACATGGTTTTATGTTTACACGATGCAATGCGTAAAAAGACAGTATTCATTATAATCTGTAATTATGTCCCCACTGGATGCAACAAATGTCTCGTTTATAATGGGTTTTAATGTTTTTGTCTCGTCGCTCCGGCCTGACGGCATCATCACAATATGGTAAGGGGCGTAACATTTTCGTCACACGCTTGAGGTATTCGGCCAATCACAACGCACTGGATAGCTGGCGAAGCGGAGCACACCTCGCTTTTCAGATCGATGAGCTTTGTAAAAATCGACGCGTTTCAGAAAGGCGGGGCATAGAGGAGAAACAATAATGGACAGTATGTGGAAACGTTTTTTGAACCTTAAACAGCGTAAACATTTCATTACACCAAATACACAAAATAATGTTCTTTTTAGCAACATCATATGACCCCTTTAAATATACACATTTAAATAGTGGCTGTCATAAAAGCTTGGACGGATTTATTCAAACATAAATAAAGCATTAAAGAACGGTAAAAATTAAATGAATGTTATATGGTGCATATATTTAGCAAAATGCTCCTCTTTAGAGTTTATTTTTCTGGCTGACTATCAAGTTTATGGTCACCAAATATGCTTTCTGATGTAAATGTAATGTTACATTAATTGTTTACAAGCTCTTATATTGACGTCTTTGCTCGGCTGAAACACTAATTGAGAGATTACATGAGACAGGATACAGATTGTAAAGTTGTACTCTTTCTTTTAACTTACCTTCGGATGTTTAGTCATGTTTATTTTGTGCTGAAACTGGTATTAATGTGGAGGAGATGATCATTTCACGTGCGCCTCGCACTGCTGCGTCTGTTGATCTGAGGTGCTACAGTGATCTGTCATTCCACATTAAACAGCACCAAAACAGCATTTATTGTTTTAATTCTGCAATACAATGGACATAAATTGAAATCTGAGACTTTGTTTCATATGTAAAGTACAAACGCACAATGCTTATTGCGGTATATTGGAATGGGAGGTGCGCTTCAATGTTCCATCCATTAATTGAAAACAGGCTAGACTAATCAATTCTTGGGATATAAGAATCGATATCGTTTCGTAAAAATGAGAATCGATTAAAATCGTGATTTCGATATTTTTTACCCAGCCCTACTGTACAATGCCACATACATTCACATCTAATGTTAACTCAGCGGTAAAGTTACTCTCACAGGACACTGCACTTATTCGCAATCACAAAAGTACATTATTTGCATGTGCAAGCCTTGCCAGTTAAATGTTTCATTCATGTGCTGGTCAGACGTGCGCTTTTTCTGAGCGCTGCGTACACCTGAAGTACGTGCACTAAAAAGTAGGGCTACACGATAAATCGAAATGAAATCAAAACTGATAGTAGGAAAAAAATACTATGGAAGTCACTGTAGACCAGCAACTGTTTGGTTTTCCACGTTCCTCAAAATAGCATTTATGTTCAGCTGAAGAAAGAAACTCATTCAGGTTTAAAACAAATTTTGAGTGAGTAAATGATGGTATAATAATAAAACACTATGACTGAATTGACAGAGAGATGACAGAATTTTTATTTTTGGGTGAACTATTCCTTTAACGTTAATAAAACAACAAAACGCAAAGAGAAAAATCACTCATTACTCTTGACTGAAGAACTTTTAATACACTTGCTTTAGGAATCAGTTTATATAGTGTTTTATTTTTATATTTGTTCATTCAATTTCTTGAATGCCCCTGCTAAATACACCTATTGTACCTGAAAATAAAGCACTGTTTGTTTTATTTGTGTATTATGTATAGTTTTAATGTGTATCTTTGTTCTTATTTTTTTTTAATAGTAAAACCAACATGACAAATGATATTTCTAAAAAAAATCGTGATATTATATTTTTGCCATATGGCCCACCCCTATCTCAGACAATAAATATCACACATCCCTAGTTTCAGTATTATTTTGAGGTATCCTGCAGCCCTAATCAAGCTATTTTAGACCGATTCAAAACTACCCATTGTGAAAACCACCTAAAGTATCTGACTAGATTTGTGAGGTTTGAATTTCCTTGTAGTCTTCATGTTCACTAAATATATTTTCCTTACATTCTTAGGTTGGAGAGAGCAAAGAAGCTTCAAGAACAGAAGGAAAAAGAGTTGTTGGAAAAACGGCAACAACAAGAGATGGCAGCAGGCAAGTAACTGGTGCAAATCATCTGCCTATTGGTGCAGTGGCTTCATATCTGACCCACCGCAGCAGACATCCATCTGATATTTTGTTGGTTGTTTCCTAACAGCAGCAGCTCCACTGTTGTGCGATACGACCACTGCAGCACCCAGTTCAGGCCTGAACGTTGCAGCACTGCTGGCCTCTGGCACACAGGTCACTCCTCAGATCGCAATGGCTGCTCAGATGGCAGCGCTTCAGGCCAAAACGCTGGCAGAGACTGGCATTGCTGTGCCAAGCTACTACAATCCCTCAGCGGTGAACCCAATGAAGTTTGCAGAGCAGGAAAAGAAGAGGAAAATGTTGTGGCAGGGGAAAAAAGATGGGGTGAGGCCAAGAAAGTCTCTGTTGTATAGATTTTTAATATAGGGTTTTTGGCAGTTGGCATGATACCACTTATATTGTTTGCATTGATCTGTTTATTATAAGTTTTATGTAATATACAATTCATTTTTCTATTTGCTGTATATATTCCTCCACTTCTGAGTCTATGGTAGCCCATAGAAAAGTTTATGGGAAAGGAATTACATTTGATAGACAAAGGATAGTTTGAACGTTAACAACAGCAAATTTAGATTTTCTAACCCAAAACCTGTAGCACCTACCAACAGTTCAAATTTGCATTTGTTTGTTCAATCTTGACTTTTTTTTTATAACTTTTGAACTGTTCAAACGATTCCAAAAACAGTCCAAAAAAATCATAAGTTGACTCTTAGACACAGAAAATAATCTTTATTCTTTCTCATTTTGTCTTTGATAAATGATTAGCTTTTGCAAAGTACTTACTGCCTCTGATACTAGTTATCTCAAGACACAAGATTTTAAGGATGTCAAAAGTAGTGTTTACTTTTGACATCCTTAAAATCTGATGTATTGCGATGTTCAGTATTAATATATGTTTATGTTGTAGGACAAGTCACAAACAGCTGAGCTTTGGGAGAAGCTGAATTTTGGTAATAAAGACCAAAATGTGAAATTTCGCAAACTAATGGGCATCAAAGTAAGTGTTCTCCTGTATTACGTTTTTATTCTGAATGTTCTAAATGTGTGAACTGGAGAAATTGTTCATTTTAATATATAAATGTTTTGTTGTTTTATTTTTTATTTTATTTTTTATACTGTCATAGACTTCAGTAATATTTTGAATTGGCTGTTAATTTTTAGTAACTTTGTCATGTTTATTAGTTTTAATATTTAGCTTTATTTCAGTTTTATTTTTTAAACTTATTCCATGGTCTGCCTGAATACTGGATTCTGATTGGCTGGTAGGTAGGCAGTAAAACTGTTTAATGCACAGGTAGTTCCAAGTCAGTTTTATCACCATTCTATATTAATGCTCTGCTTTAATTGATGCATTGCACACAAACCGACACACACAGAGAGAGAGAGTCGCAGATCGCACACATAAACTTGTAATATTAGACACATTTGTCAGTTGCCAGACATAGCTGAATATATTGCTGCCCAATTAAAATAAGACAATATTATTTGTCTCTTTTAAAAAAATAGCATTACATTTCTTTAAAGAGACACTTAAAGATGCATATTACATTTGAAAAAATACATAATTTGATCACTTAATTGTCTACATAAGCCATTGGGGATTGGATCCAGGTGAATATGCGTTCTATTTGATTTATTATTATTATTATTATTTTATTATGTTATACAAGTGAATTGCAAACCAAATTGAATTTTTAAATGTTTGATGTTCCAACTCTCAAATTCACAGTGTGACTGCATTACACATTATTTACAGTAATCTGGGGAAGCTCTTGTAAGCAGTGTATGCAAAATGTCATGTTTTTATGTTAATCATTTTTAATAGGTTGGCCTAAAATCATGAGATTGATGTCCTTTTATTCCTTTTAGGACAAAATACAAAATCTGTCAACAGCTTGCTGTGGAAAGGACATCAACATTTGACTTTTAAAGAAACTATTTATTTGAAATAATTTGTGTTTTAATGCTATAAACCTACAAAACTGCGACCAAATGATACGTAATATATAACCTACATCTAAGTATACTTATTTGCATATTAGACTGGAATACAAGACATGAGCTACACCTGTGATAAGATTGTGATTAGCAAATTCTAGAATAAGTAGTAAAATGGGGTATTCGCTGTGTCTTTTCCAGTTTTCTGCCTCGTCACTCAGACCCATCCAGTGTGCAAGAAGATTTCGCATTGCCTCTGGGAAAAGTTCAGTTGCCAGCTCCTCAGGAGGTGGCAAGTTTGTAATGTGCTCAATGTGTTGGGCCTTAAAACCTTCAACCCGGTGACTAATGGTGCTGTTGGCTGCATTGAACTGCTGGCCAAGCCAACCTGCCACAGCCTTCAGCAGACTGCTTGAGTAGATGGAGTAGCTCTGAAAATGAGATTGAAATAGGGCCATCACAGTGTTCATCAGTTTTTCCTCGTCAATCATCCCAGTAATACAGTATTCAACATAGTCCAGGACCTTTGTGGCAGTCTTTAAATGTTCTGCTTCAATACTTGTAAATAGCTTCACTTTTTCCCCTAGGCTTTGAAGTTTCTGTGCAAGTAAAGTAGACTGGCTTAAGTTTGTTTGCTCTGAGGAACAGTAGTCATGGTCTGAAGATGATGAAATATCTGACTGATCTGTGAGTACTGGAAAGAAGTTTGTTTCTACTTCGCCAGACTGCCGATGGACTTGGTATGATGAACATGTATTATTATTTTCCAAAATAGTTTGCGCCTCTTGATCAGTTTGGGGTTGAACATCCTGGGCACCAAGATGATAGGTCATGTTCAAGTTGTTGTCATTTATTCGAGATTTCCATAGATCCTTATGAACACAATTATTTAAAACAATAAACACTTTATTACAAATTTAGAAAATATAAGGACATGATAAAAATCATAAAATTACAAATTCAAATTACCTGAAATGACTCCATAACGGAGAGCTGATCTTGTTTGCTATACAGTTCAAATGCCACTCGAAAAACTCCATGAACACTATAGAACCACAGACTGTTGTTGGAATAAGGGAGTCGCAGTCCTTGGAATCTGTAGTCTAGAGATCAATCAGATAAATATTAACCTCTAACCCTCTAATTAACCCCTAATGAAAATTGACCAGGTCAAAAAAATTATAACCACATACCTGATGGGAAAACCAGTTTGGTTGCCAATCCTCGTTTAGCAAATTTTGCATGGTATCTGGGCTGGTTTTCACTGCGAACGTCTGTGTCTGAGAACAGATCAGCTCCAAGAAAGAGAGGGATCATCTGATCCTACATATTAAATTAAAAAATGAATAAATATAATATATTAACTGAAATTTATATAATAAACATTAATAAATTCAATAACCTTATTTTTTGGAAGAATCGTCAGGTTGTACAACTACACTATAAACTTTATATAAAATGATTAGGAAAACAGCTTGATTGTGAACAATAATAAGCTACACATTATTTAAAGAGACATTAATACACATTAATAGATGCAATTCATTTATTAATAATCAAGATAAGGCTGGAAAAAAACAAGAACCCACAGTGGAAAGGCACTCTTGGAAAAGAAAAAAACAGTCTAAGCTTATTGGCTAGTCGTAGCTGTTTTGAGATGGACCCAGAAAGCAGCTGAGGTGTATTCCAGAAAGCAGGTTCTGTGACATACCCCGGTATTTTTGAGGATAAGAGAGCGGATAACCTCAGCTTTCGGTTCCAAAATCGGAGGTTACTTTCCGGAGCAGGTTATGTTCCTGGGTTTGTTCACTTCAGAGCCATCAGCGCACGCGTGACCTACTGACAAGCCTTCAGTGGGCGTGACAGATAGCGCACAACATTATATAATATTACAATATAGTTATGTAATAACTCAAGACATTCTCAACAGAGCGACGAATCGTGAAAAGCGCGCCGTGCTGTTTCTTCTTCTTCTTTTGTGTTTAATGGCGGTTGGCAAACCAGCTTAAGGTGCATTTCCGCCACCTACTGGGATGGAGTGTGAGGCCTCGATGAACGAACATATATATTACTAACATAAATTTTTTTTTAAAATCAACTAAATTCTTCTAATCAAATCTGTATCTCTCAGATATTTTAGAAGAAAACCATAAACCCTTAGATGTTTCTGTGCATTCTGAAATATATTCATAACTGAAATGTCATTGATTTCCATATCTCTTCGTTTTTCAACAAGTTGCTTTCTTTGTCTATTATATGCCTCACAATGTAAGAGCACATGTATCCGTATATATTTGAATACTATTAAAATATTTTTGTTTCAAATAGTGATCCACTACTATTTCTTTAGGCATACATCTTTCCTTTTCATTTATTTTAAAATGCAACTGGAGATCTACCATTGGCATGCGGAACAGTCTCCGGAGGTCTAAATGCAACTCCATATCCACCTGCATCGCGGAGACTGGCGATGTTCTAAATGCCCCACTTCCTATTCTTAATGCTTGAGATTGGATACCACTTACTTTCTTCAACATAGATACTGATGCCGAACTATATACTATGCTGCCATAATCAATCATAGGCTAGTATGCCATCTTTAACTTAAGTCTCCGGAGGTCTAAATGCAACTCCATATCCACCTGCATCGCGGAGACTGGCGATGTTCTAAATGCCCCACTTCCTATTCTTAATGCTTGAGATTGGATACCACTTACTTTCTTCAACATAGATACTGATGCCGAACTATATACTATGCTGCCATAATCAATCATAGGTCTAATGATTGCACAATATACTCTTTTCAATGCCTGTCGGGTTGCAACCCAATCTACCCCTGCCAAACATCTTAAAATATTTATTCCCTTTTTACATTTATCTATTACTTTATTAATATGTGATGCAAAAGTTAGTTTTGAGTCCATCCATAATCCAAGGAACCTAATTTCTGTTACCTGCTCTAACATTTTGCATACTTTCCGATATATTATTATTACTAAGAACCTTAACGAATGCTTCTACTAATTCCTCTGCCTTTTCTTAATTAGTCATTATATATCTCCCCTCTTTTATTAAAACTGGAATACTTTTATACATCTGTTTCCCACCCATCTTCCTAACCATATTCCACATATCACTTATATCTACATTTACACCAATTTCATCATAGAATTGTCTCCAGTAATTTCTTTTAGTTATCCTTATTACTTTTCTTACCACTGCTTGAGTTCTCTTGTAATTTATAAAATCATCAAAAGAATTAGATTTTTTTACTTTTCTTAAAGCTCTGTTTCTGGTTTTAATTACTTCACTACATTTTTCTGTCCACCATGGTACAGCCTTTTTCATTCTTGCCCCTTTACTTTTCCCTATTATCTCTTGCGCTGAACTACACAGAATCATATTTATTTTATTATTCACATCCTCTACATCTTCAAAACTAAATTGTGTACTTATCATTTTACCTTCACATACATCTTTGAACTTATCCCAATCTGCAGCTTTAAACCTCCATCTGGGAATTTTCTCCTCTTGGCATACTTCAGTTTCTATCCCTATACTACATTTTATAGGATAATGATCACTTCCCATATTACTATGATCCAAAACTTCCCATTCACATTGCCTGGCTAAATTATTAGATACAATAGTTAAATCTAACACTGAATTACTTCCTCTAACTACATCTAATCTTGTTATACTCCCGTTATTTAGGCACACTAGGTCACTACAGTCTAATATTTCTTCTATCACATTCCCATTTTGGTCATTATTTGCACTTCCCCACAAAGTACTATGAGCATTAAAATCACCACACCACACTATGTTAAAATTACCCTCTCCTCCAATATTTTTCAGCAGATCTTTATTTAATTTCAGTTTCTCATTTATCTGTTCTACTATTACTCCTTCTACATTCAGATACTTTTCTGCCGCTCTTAAGATTATTCTTGTTCTTTCAGTTCTACTCTCAGTCTGTGCAGAGCAGTTAACTACTTCTACGATGAACGCAACAAATGCCAACTTATCAGTCAGGAACTTATCGGCGTTTTCTTTTCCCTGATTCGGACGCTCATTTCATTCGCTCGTTTCTTCTGCTACTTCCTTTTATTCTCTCATCTGAACTTTCTTGACTGCCTCTGCATATGTTAATCCTTCCGTTATCTTAACATTTTGAACTTTGACCGCATTTTTCCTGATCTGACAACCTCCATACCCCGCACTGTGTTCTCCCCCGCAGTTGCAGCATTTAGGTTTCACACCTTCCTCACACTTTCCGTATTCATGATCCCCCCCACATTTAACACAGCATTGCTTCCCTCTGCATACTGTAGCCACATGTCCATATTTCTAACACTTAAAACACCTTAGTGGGGGTGGAATGTAAGGTCGAACTACATAGCTCATAAATCCTAAAAACAGTCATTCCGACAATTTTTCTTCATCAAAATGTACCATTACAGAAAGACTGTCCATCCTCTCCTTGTCTCGGGTATATTTCAGCCTCCTCGCATCTATCACTTTTGCTCCTGAAATGCTTTTCTTAATCGTATCTATTGATACATTCATTGGTATTCCAGTAATAACTCCTCTCATCCATTTCTTTTCTCCCATAACTTGACTAGTAACCTTTTGCCCTAAAATAGTCTTAATCCCTAGAGCAGCCTTTTGTTGTTTACTGTCTTTGCAGAAAATGATCATTTTTCCATCTCGCAACATCTTAGCACTTTTAATATTTCCTACCATTTCCTTCAGTGACTTAGTCAATTTCAAGGGATCCAAACTACTTGCTTCTTCCGACATAAACGTCACCAATACCTTAAACTCCTCCTTTCTTGTTCTCATCTGATGACATTCTCTCTCACTTTCTGTTCCTGATGTTTGGCTCCAATCTTTCCTTCTTTTCCGCTTTTCTACTAAAGTCCACTTACTACTTTTGTTTCTTTAATTTCCCCCGCCATCTACATCCTCCAAATCCAGATCACTTCCGGACTCTACTCCACTTCCGTCCATCTTGGCCTCAGTCACAACCCAGTGTCGCCTCAGCCAAAACCACACCTGTACGCTTGCCGGTGATGCTGACGTACTTCCGGCTCACCTGTTTCTCCTTCTTTTGTTCAATGGTCGTTTACATGCTTAGTGCATATCGCCACCTAATTGATGCTTGTGCAATCATTTTTATTTTTTTCCGTTTAATCTTTAATCCTTGAGAATATGAATTATATTGTTTGTTTGAAGCTAATTATATATTAAGTCATATCAGATATGTATTTTGATTTCAAATTTAGACATTATAGAAAATGCTGATCCATGTGTGAGATGATAATATAAAACGTAATAAATAAACATATATAATATAATAAATTAAACATTACCTTGTCATAGTGCTTTAAGCCTTAACCCTGGAACATAACCTGCTCCAGAGCAGGTTATCTTCAGAGAACAAGTTACTATGGTTACTTACATACCCTGAAAGTAACCTCCGATTTTGGAACTGAAAGCCGCCTGCTTATCCTCAAACATACCCGTGTATATCACATAACCTGCTTTTTGGAATACTCCCCAGCTTGCTAAAGAGTAGTCAAAAACCCTCTAAAAGCGGTCTACTAAACCTGGGACGATAACCAGCCAGCCAGCCAACTTATGCTAGTTTTAGTTGATTTTCTTTCAGCAGGTTATGAATACATATCCAAAAATCCTTTGTAAATGATGGTACTTTTTGTTACTGGTACACCTACCTCGTTTGTGCTTGGTTTAGCAACATTAAACGAGTTGTTGTTTGTAAGATACAAGAATCGCACCCTCCTTTTACCACACTCCCAATACGACATATTGATGAGAGAAATTCCTCCAGATGCCATGATGATGTAAAGACAGGACAGTCGGCCAAAGAGCAAAAAAAAGTTTAAAATACCGAACAAATTAAGCGTTTCTATTGCAAACGCCCTGCATGCCAGATATCTTCTTCAGCGTGATCACAAAAGAAAACTGTACCACCGCCAACTCTAATTTAGTAACCGTAAACAGACAGCTTTAGCTATGAAGTGTTTTGTTTGCATGTTTAAATATGTATTACTTCCTGACTGTGGTCTCCTAGCCAATCAGCAGCCCTGCGTCGGAGCGTTGTACGGTTTACCCTTTGAACTGTAGTACGCGTCGCGCATTGTGGTCATCAAACATGGCTGCGGTGGAGTTTGGGGATAGCGAATTATTTGATCAGTTCGAAGAGAACGCGCCAGAGCGCGATCGTATCATAGAAGAGGTTGATGATGAAGAGAGTGAGAGTTCAGATCGACTGCGGGAGCTTCGGCAGACATTAGAAGTGTGCGAAGACACAATAGAGCGTTTGAACGCAGAGAATATCCTTATAGCGTAGCATCCAGTGAGCGTGCTGGATCTCTCGTTTTAGCTTGAACTGCATGCTGGTGTAGTTGTCATTGTACATCTGATTGTCTTCATCCGATGTTAAAAGCCCATGTAAAGAAAAATGTGGGATGTTTGTGTAGAACAGTTATGAGTTTAGTTCAGTTACGATGAAAATACGATCGAATTTGCTTTGATAACAGAGGCTTGTTTTTAATCTGCAATCGATATTATAAGTCTTATGTTTTTGTTGTGCGTAGGGATGTTCATTTTAACCGTTAACAGACCGTAAGAATTTTTGACCGATTAATACAATCAGTTAAACGGTTTAAAAAGTCATTTATTTATACATTTTTTCCCAGTAATTTTTCAAAATATTTTAAAAGGATTGTTGCATGGTTAAAATACGCTACGCATATATCACGTAACTTTAGGCTATAAGTCGCATTTTATTATTTCATTCAGATAGGCCTAATGCCAACGCGAAATGTTTACAAACATTATAATAAATAATGTTTATAATATAATAAACACCGTAAACATAGCTAGGCTATTTTAGTTCCCCTCACTCCACAACAAATCCTTTCAATTAACAGTAGCTATTTTGAAAATAACATTTCTTTTAAAATATATGAAGTTATAAACGACAAGCCAAAACGAATTAATTTAGGCTAAAACGAAACTGAAACCAACGTTGGGTTTCTCATTCGACACAAAATCAAATGTTTCCGTATTCGCGATGTATTTGAATGCCAAAATATTTATGTAGCCTCACACGACGGGCTAGAGTGAGCGGAGGCCGGCTTGAGTGAGCGGAGGCGGGCAGGCAGGCTTGAAAACGGCGTGGATTCGACGAAGGAGCGGCTGGCGGGCTTGCGTCAACCACATGTGATGACCCCGGGCTGGACTCCACTTTGTCCATGGTGAAAGCCGATCCAGTGATCCACAGCGCGAAGTTGATGTATTC